GGAAGGAGTAAACAAATTTATATGTGGGCTTGTGTATATATATAAGAGATATATATAAATACATATATACTTCTTCTTTCGTATATGTTTGTATGTACAAATCCATCCGAAACGTCTGCGTCAGGCATCGCCTTGAACTACCAGCAACTTTCGCAGAGAAGACTGATTTATTTATGAGGTAAACTATTGGCCATCCATGATCTCTGTTGGACTATATTGTCCTGAAACGACCTCCTTTAACCATATTCCACTTTCGATGTGCTGAATTGAGAGAAATTCGCAAGGCACATCACTGGAAGGATTCTAAAAACGACACCTCGGTCTTAGAGAGTGAAAGCGGTTTAAAGAAACACATTTTTCCCACTGAGCGCTGTAACAAAGACTCCTCTTTTTGGTCCCAAACCTGAAATCTTCTGTGACTTTAGATACCAAGCTGGCGTTTTTCAATAAATGTCTTCAACTCAAAGTCTGTTATGATCCGATCCACAGGTACTTTAAGTTTGTCTGCTGTATTTGAAAACAAAAGCTCTGTGAAGCATAAGTTCCGTCAGGGAGATGGAATGTCTGTATAGAGAGCAGGCGGCCGCGGTAGCCGAGTGGTTAGCATTCTGCGCTGCCATTCGGAAGGCGCGGGTTCAAATCCACGTCCGTCCTACATCCAAAAGTTATAGAAAATTAACCTACAATATATAAAAAATCAAATGTTCTAATTGCCCCTCGCCCCTTGGTAGGGAATGTCAACCCCGCCGAATGTATTTCTGACATGAAATATGAAAGCTCCTTCTAAAAAAAAGCAATCAGCCGTTCAGAGGCGGTTTAGTATAAACTATAGATCCCTCCACTTATTGGAAAAACATCAAAAAACCACTAGGAGGAGTTCGGCGGAAAATTGCTTAAGCGTTTCCAAAGCGCCAATTATATAAATAGAGAGAGTAGGATTCTTCACATTCCCTATTTGGTTGCCATGTAAGACCTACGAGGAGTGTGGTGAAATTTGCTTTCATGAAGTTTCCCATTAACCACGAGTAGTCACTTTCGGAAGAGCAATTGAGTACTCGGTTTCCTTTTTCGTGGTCTTAGTACCTCCATCTCATCCTGCTTTTCGTACGCCCTTGCAGATCTGAACTTAGCTATCGTCCCTCCTTTACAGTACAATTGGTGGCCAGACTTGGTTGTTACGGTAATGGTTTGGTCAGCGCTGAAGAACGGACAAAACTAATTTTAGTAGGTGGTAAAAAACCTCCAGAGCGGATAAGTCGATCTTAAGAGACCCTTTACAACTGTGATAAACATCGTGCGGCGACACAACGCATGTCCAATATTGTAAGAACGGTGATTTCTTCAGTCTCCCAGCACAGCTCTAGCTCATCAGAAGCCTGGGTATTGACAGAGTTTCTGGTTAAAGGTCTTTCGGTGGAACGTAGCCTTGCCTTGTTTTTTCGGATGTTCCGACTATCACGACAGCCAATTCTATGCATTCGAATTGATCCAGACTCTGCCCGTCTAAGAGCTATCGTTTTTTCCGTGACCGTAAGTAAAATGTGTAGGTCTCTCCATCTGTTGGAAAAAATTTCGTTTGGGTCGGCAGGTAAAGCGTGAAAACTCTTTCCTACACCTTCTATATACACTTTTTGAACACATCAGCCGGATCAGCGCTGCAAAAGTTTGGCAATTCCAGAGAACTCTTCGCGATACGGAGTAACAGCTTCAGGATTCAGAGTTCTTGTAAGCAAAATAAAAAAAATCCTTAGGAAAAGCTAAAAATTTCTTAGAGCTCGTCTCAGCCGCTTCCTATTTTCTTCCTACTTCTACGAGATTGCCATCATTGAAATCATTCCAGGACACTGACCAATTCAGTATCAACTGGATATCGATTCTAACTCACTTGGGGAATAGATGCTCTTAGTTCGATCTTTTTCACAATTTCTTCTCGATCTATGTCCAACTTCCAGAGGCGTCACACTTTTACTCTGAAGAAAAATTTGCTTTTCCTTGACTTCATTCCCTCTTGGTTCGAAATATTCTTCAGTTCACGTAAGAGAAACACGGCAGGTGATGTTACAAGGATTACCTCCTTCACTTAAATTGCATGGAGCTCACTTATTGAATGCAATCTCCCCTCATTCTTGCTCATTAAATCAACAGGTGATGTCTTGGCTCAAGCCCATGTAAGCCAAGACGGTAGAAGAGGGATTTGTAAGAATGTTTCCTTCATTCTTACATGAGCACACACATTCATATGAGAAGAGCTCCGCTTTAATTAATATTGGACTGCAACAGATGTGCAACTGCACAATGGATGCATGCGCTTGTTGCATTTGGTCTGCACTTCCGACCCTGCTTCCGTACATCTTCGCTGGCTATTGAAAAAGGAATTAAGAAACTGTGCAGTTACGTTTTTTTGTTTGTTTGAGCTACTGCATCGCACGAAAGCCGGTAGTTGTTGTTGTGTCGTGTCAAGGTGTCCTTAAAAGGTACCGCAAGCAAGCATTTGAAAGGTTCAGCAGTGACGCAGTATGTAAAAGGACTTGTGAGACTGAGCAGGTGGCTTGATTGGTAGCAGCGTTGGCAGCAGCACGCGTGCAACAAGTCATTTCCATTTACCTGCAGGGGACGCTTGCGACAGATGTGAAACTGGTTGTTCTTGTTCTTGTTCTTTTATTTTTGTTTCTTTGTTGTTAATTCCATTCGGCGTAGGGACAATAGATGTGTTGTAAACTCCAGCTGCCAAAGTGATCCTTTCATGCAACTCCAACTCGTGGCAAGTTGACATGTGAAATGGAAATGCAGCTGCCAAGTATTTATTTAACTGCTTTTATTAAGTCTTTCTTTTTGTAGTTGTTTGTTTGCTGGTTGAGGTTGCTGCATTTAGGAGTTCAATTTGAGGGAATCAAATAAAGAAATAATGTGAAGTTGTTCTTTAACCGAAATGATGCAAGATGAGTAAATATTTGGTGAAGTTTCTTGATTCCAAAACTCTCTCTCTCTCTCTCTCTGACTATTGCACCAACAGCTCAGGCCTCTTCCTTACCATATAACATCCAGTTTAGAAAACTCTCTCATAAGGCTAAAGTTATCAAAGTTAGTTAGGCTTTCCCCTACCTTGGAAATGGAACCTCTACGACCTCTGTCAGGTCTCAAAAAAGCTGAGCAGTGCATTCGCACTTGCTTTGGCCTTGTAGTGTTAACCGTTTACCAATGACTTGCTCTCAATAAACCCAACCGTCACTTTCATCAAGCTTCGAAATAAAAAAACATATTTACTTCAAAAGACTATGCTGCTCAGTACTGCAAAGGCTTGAAGAACAATTTGCTAATGTAACTATTTACGATTCTCTATTAACACCTTCACGCCCAAGCTAAGAGTGAACAACAAGCGAAATAGAAAACAACAATATTTTTGTTTTGAAATAACAGCGCTTAAACGCTGTTATATTATATGTAAATACATATGTAATTCCCACATGATCATGAATTAATTTGTTTTTTTTCTAAACAAACTTCGTTTTACAGACCAAAACTGTTTGTTTATTTTATTTCATTCATTCTCTGTTATTAGAGTCGATTTTAAATCATTTAATTAATTTATTTTTATACGATTTTATTACTTATAATTTAAGTAAATTTTATTTCATTTAATTATATTTTTTTCTTTCTATTTTTATTTTATTTTATTTTATTTTATTTTATTTTATTTTATTTTATTTTATTTTATTTTTTTATTTTATTTTATTTTATTTTTTTATTTAATTTTATGTCATTGTATTTTAACTTATTTATATAATATTATTTCATTTTAATTTTCGTTTTGAGTTTTGTTATATTTTTCTTTTTTCTATTTTGATTTTTAAATTTATTTTATTTTAGTTTTTTGTTTTATTTAATTTAATTTTTTAACGACCCAATGTAGCAGGTAGACTCAAACCAAACAAATCACTGGGCCCAGATGAAATACTTGTAGAGTTGCTGAATACTATTGTAGTGAACTGTCCTAAAATTCTTCTGAATATGTATTATGCCTGTCTCAGCTCTGGTATATTCTTCGCAAAGGGAAAGGAAACCTAGACAAACCATCAGTATACTGTTCGGTTTGTGTACTTGATACCGCCGGGAAACTGCTAGATCCGAGACTAGAAGCAGTCATCACCGCCACTGGATGCCTCTAACCAAAGCCATGTGCATTCAGGCCTGAAAGATCAACTCTAGGAGTAGATTTAGATGTAATAAACAACGTCGAAGAAACGCAAAGTGGAAGCTGGATGTGCGTAATGCATTCAACAGTGCTCAATGGAGGGATATGAATCTAGGCTTAATTGTTAAGAGCTACCCATGGGACAGAGTCTTATTATATCAAACTACAGATGGTCCCTTGGAAACTCAAATATACGTCAGCGGCATCGCAGGGATCCATACTCCGCCCAGATCTCTGGAATATCAAATTTTCAAATGCCTAAAGGCGCTTCTCTATTTGGTTACGCCATACAGAAGATGCATGTCGGAAGCTAAATCAGGTAATGCTAAGAGCCTAACGGAAAAGCATATCCCTTTGGCAGTAACCATATATGCATCCTCCAGTACCCTGAGTACGACAAAACTTACTTAGGTGTAACACTGGTTCCCAGACAAAGATTCTGGGCGCAAGTCCCAGACGGCTCGGAATAAGCTGCTGGAACCCAGCTAAGCAGACCTACTCAAGCGTCGTCAACACTACAAGAGACGACATACGAAAGGAATTTCTGAACTGGTTCAGAAAGGCAAGCTCAATGGGAATCAGAAATCTGGGGCCAATGGGCGGCCAGGTTAATAACAGATGTCCATGGACAAGAAGCTGGGAGGTGTGGACTATTGCTACGCACAGATGGTATTCGGGCACGGATACCTCCGGAAATATTTACACAAAATCGGAAAGGTTGAAGAGCAGCGATGTATCTGAGGTTTGAATTTATAAAGCGAAAAAGCGTGACCTGGAAGCAGGTGGCGAGATACAAATACTCAAAAAGTACAAAATTATAAGTTTTTTTTATTAAAATAAATTTTTATCACTCAGGAAACGCAGCACCACGCTCAACCATTTTTGGAAATTATTTCAAAAAAGACTTGCCCCACCACCGCTATATTAAATCAATTTGCGACATTTCATCTCATCCGCCAACATTTTACCCATCAACGTCGGATTAGCCGTTACAATTACATTTGCTTTCTCCAAAGCCTTCACTTTGTCCATGGCCTTACCTTTCCCACCCGATATAATGGCACCAGCATGGCCCATACGCCTGCCCGGCGGCGCTGTACGTCCCGCAATGAAGGCCACGACCGGTTTGGCGTTATCACCCGAATTGCATTGAATCAAATGCTCAGCTGCATCCTCCTCGGCATTGCCACCGATTTCACCAATCATCACGATGCCTTTCGTTTCGGGATCCTGTAGGAAAATGTCTAGGCAATCGATGAAATTGGTACCATTGAAGGGATCACCACCAATGCCCACGCACAGCGTTTGTCCCAGACCATGATGTGTGGTTTGATTAACAGCTTCGTAGGTGAGCGTACCGGAACGCGAGACCACGCCCACAACACCACGCTTATGTATGTTACCAGGCATAATACCGATTTTGCACCACTCGGGCGCAATAATACCAGGACAGTTCGGTCCGACAATACGACTTTTCTCTTGCTGCATCAGCATATCCTTCACACGTACCATGTCATGTTGCGGTATACCCTCGGTTATGATCACAATTAACGGTATTTCCGCTATCAACGCATCCTCCACAGCTTTAAAAGCGCCCGGCGCAGGCACGTAAAGTACAGTCGCATGTGGATTTAAGGCTTTTTTCGCCTCTTCAACGGTGGCAAAGACGGGCTTGTCTAGATGTTTGGTACCGCCTTTTTTCGGCGAAACGCCACCAACCAATTTAGTGCCATATTTCAGCGCCTCTGTGCAGTGGAATGTGGCTTGCTTGCCGGTGAAACCCTGACATATAAGCGTCGATTCGGCGGTGAGCTTGAGGTTTACGCGCGTCTTAGTGTAGTCCGCCTGCTTGCGCAGAGCATGTAGGAGCACACCGTTTCGGCGGAACAGCAATCCACTGCGTACTACCGCAGAAACTATGCTCATTTTGGGTTAACTCAAAGATTAAGAAATTTTCTGTTCTATTTTGAAGACTGAAGATTGTTCATAAAAAATAAATACAAAAATTATTGACTGAAATGTGAAACTTAATGCAGAGCAGACGAATTATAGAATTTTAACTCGGTCAATAGGGGCTGCCTACTTCTCGAAACCATCATCACAAGCAAGAGGAGACTCAAGACAAGGACTGTCACTTCCTCAAGATTCCTCGGAAATTACTTTGAGGGAATATATTTGCAGCTACAGCAACAACAACTGCAGGTATACTCTGCTTTGTCCACTAATCTCTTGAAAAAATCTCCGACAGTCGATAAACATTTCAGAGTTTGTCGTGATCGGCAGTGCTTTTAATTACTGCCAGTCTATCACTGCAGTTTAAGATGCTTCTTTCAACCCGGTATGCAATCAGCCTTCACGCAGCACTAACCACCTCTTTCCATTCCCCTTAATACCTATTCATCTAACCCACTTTCCCTCTGGTCCGAAGCAGTCTAAACAGCCCTCCTGTTAGATGAGCTCGATGACTAAGAATATCTTGCTTTACCTTACACCACCACCTACTCTGCCATACAGTTTTGACTGCCGGGAATCAGTGTCGAAAATTTGGAGCCGGAGATGCTGAATAGAAGCTCAGCAGTCTGTGCTACTTGGTAGACTCTGTATCTTTAAGCGAAGTGCTGATTCAATAGATAGGATATGAAGCGTTATGTGTTGAGTTTCATTTGGAGTAGCTCCAAGCACGCTATCCTTGGACTCTTACCAATAAGTTTTATTTACGTTGACCGGTCATCATCTTGGGACTAAGACCGCGGTATTTACCGATAGCACTTTTACAGGCACAGAGTTCCGCGGAAGCTTTCTCACGCTTTTCAGCTAGGCTTGCTGTCGTCAGTCTGCCATTCGGGGCCAGCAAGACAAACATCAACGAATGAAACCAGTTTGTCTCCAAGCCAATAATGCACAGTTAAGCGCCTCTAGGCTACTTTGAATTTGTGTAGGTATAACCCCATCTGGCTCAGGAGATTCAAAATGTCTGAAGGTTCCAACGGCACAGCTTACTTCTGCTAATATGCTGCTTGGTGGGTTTTACGAGAAAACGATAACAGATCACATTGAGCGCTTTACAATGACAGAGTTAGTATTTCACCGATTCCTTTCTGCATCTTCGACCGAAGTCATTTGAGATGCAGCCCATCCTTCTACCGGGAGTCTCCATAAGACGGTGTCCGGTTATTACGTCGGTTGTTATGCTTATAGAGATCCAGTTAAGAAGGAGTAGAGACTTAGTGATGTTTACCTCGATTAATGGTCAGGTTTGTCTTGTCACATTGCACGTATTTACTCGCTGCCATCTGCTTTTGGTCCTTCTGGTCCCACCTTGTAGAAGAAAGCACTTCATGTGAAGAGTTTTCCGTGGTTAAGACTGTTGCCGTTCTGACCAGTTCGCCGTCTACGCAGTTCTTTGGACTGTCCCATGGCCAGGCATCCGAATCGAGTACGCTTCGCTTACAGCCGAGACTTTGTTTAAGAGCTCACTCTGCATATAAATGCCAACTTTGGGATGGTATGCCGTATTAGAAACAAACAACCATGAAGCGGCTTTCCTTATCACGGTTAGTTCCAATTGGAATACGCTGCGGTATGTAAATAAAAAAAAAAATTAAGAAAAAATTCCTTGTTCACAAAAAAGATTATCATCCAAAATATTTCGCCCGAAAATTCCAAGCACCCACAACAAATTCATCCACCACAACCCTTTCGCTGCCTGCGTCGCAGATAGCACAGAACAAACTAACGACGCAATGCCATGTTTCCGTCGGAGGATAATTCGCGTGGCGATCGGTCATTGCATTCCCACTTGTCAACGATTTTTGGCGCGCAATCACAACAAAAGTTCAGTGACACGACGTTCGTTCGTTCACTCATACAACTGCTACGACAATGAAAGTTTATATTAAATAAATTTTACGCAGTAAAGGAAGCTACGGGCTAAGTGATTGGCACACATGGCAGGCGGCAGGGCGCTGGCCTTGCGGCGCACCCACAGGAACAACAACAACAGCAGCTTGAGTGTCTGGCGTACAAGTGAGACAAGTGAGACGTAGGCGTCAGCGGCGTATGCTTACTTACATACAAACCTACACCAGCGAGCGCCGCGAGCCAAATGTAGTAAATAAAAATTCATAAATTTACACAAAAGTTCCACTAGCAGGCGAGAAATCAAAACAAACCGCACATAAAAAAAAAGCATAATAAAAAACAAAAACAACGAACCATGATGGATGTGAGTATGTGAGACGGCAAAGCAGCGCTAAACCCAAAAGACAACAAGACGTTATATCGTATTAAATGTATGCGCCCCCAAAAACACAAGAAAGAGAAGGCGAAAAGCGCGGTGGAGAAGATAAAGGGCGAGCGTTCGCCATTCATACATACACACATATATACATACGAACAATCATTACATTGCAAAATAACCGGCCTCGTGCTGAGCAATCAAAACAAAACGCCAGCAAAAACAAACTGCCAGCGCGCAGGTGAAACGCGCGGCGCGGCGCGGCGTAACGTGCGGAGTAACGAAAATCCGCAAAAAAAAAATTCGAAAGAATTCTACAGGTTAATGACACGAACGGCAGGCAGCACAAGCGAGTACACATACATATATACATAGTACTTACTACAGCGTAGCGTGTAAAATTTGGACAGCGCACTACTCAGCGCGCGTTGGGCCGCCGCGTACCGACGCGCCGCTTAGAAAGCATGTCTTTTTTACTCTATCAGTTTAGGCACTCACCGGCCAGAATACATACATAGAAAAAGTATTAACACTAACCGAGAAGTCAATGAAATGAGAGAATACACGTATATTTGGATATATGTATGTTCACGGTTCGAGCGACGTCAATGCTCTCGAGCTTACATATGTTTTCAACCAGCAAACACCGATAAATGAATGGAATTTTGTGGATTTAACTAAATATGTACATAAATACATACATATATTCATCAATATGTAAGCGCGTTTACTCTTTTGCGCGTTTTTTAAATGTCCTATTCTACCCTTGGGCTGTTATAACGTCCAAGATATTGGTCTTGGCCTCGGTGCAATATCCGTGTAGCTTAAGTGGACCCTAAAATTGTACATATTCAGCTGCTTTCGATCGACTCTGACTGCAATAGCGTACTACCAGGTGGATGGTTCTGGGTTCGAGTGCTACAAAGCAAATTAAAAGCTCTACCAAACCGACCGAGGGTCTAGAAAACACTAAAAAAAACTGTATTAGGGTATCGATCAGAGAGAAAACCTTAATATTTTCCCGGCTCCGTCAATCGGATCTCCACATTTGAGTGGCGTATGGTGAAGATCTTTATCTTTCTTTGCTTCATAAGTACCTTTTCTCGCAGACTCCTAGTGCCATTTAAACGGATATTGTTATAGTCCAAGCGTATGTTCCATAATTTGTCAAGTCCACTACGGTAGTCAAACCAGGCCGTTGGTTTTGTAGCAGGTCCAAAAAAACGGTCTGTTTTGACGGGTTTGCACTGGATGGGGGGGTGAAAGTGAGTCGAGAAGGTTTTAGGGGAGTAATGTTGTGCGGGATCTCACTCGGGTTGGAATCCGGATGAATGGGAATTAGGTCGACTTCATTTACCTTAGTTGGAAAAACATTAAAACTCATACCAAAAATTGGAAGATGAAGAACATTTATACATGTCCTTCAGACATATTTTATGTATATATAAATGACATTTGAAGGTCCTCAAAATCGGCTGGCAGTAAGTATTTCCAAGAGGTGACGTGTCGGGACCTTTTTCGGAATGATAGGACGCTCATGGGATCGTTAGAAAAAGGATGGATGAGCTCTTAAAGAGATTCCCTCTACCCGTCCCGACTATATTGATACCCCAAGTCCGGTAATCTAAAAGGTAGTAAGAAGAAGAAGAATTTTAAGATAGTAGCTCACAGAAGAAATCTAGTTCTATTGTCTATTGTTGGTCATGAATGCGTCAATCCACTTTGCCAAACTAATTTAGAATATACTAATGGATTAACAAAATTCGCTATAAATAAATAAGCAAATCAGAAATAAAAACAAACAACAAAAAATAGCTAAAAATAGACTTGAACCTGCATACATACATACAAACCTGCATAAGCAATACCCTAATTGAGGCGTAAAAACGAAAGCGTAGGTAAAACAAAAAGCAAAGCTCAAACGAATCATAATAAAATATTGGCAAATTCGCCAGAAGCAACGAGCAATAACCCCGAGCAGTAAAAAAAAACAGAATCATACAAAAGCTTCACGCATAAAAATCTCTTTCTTCTTCACCGAAGACAAAGAAGAAGCTACGCTGCTTTTACATAGACCATCAACGACCAAGCGAACAGCAATTTGTGGCGGTTGAAAAACTTTCTAAAACACTTGATATCTAACATGCGTGCGCATTAGTCGTCCCCTTCGTCCAGCCCCTCCATCCATCATGCACCAGCTTACGCACACTGATCGCATAGTGAAGAAAACCGAAAAAGGAACATAAAACGCGCCAAATTCTGGCTTTGTGTTGTTTTGCCTCTGGCTTAAAGCTTTTGAGGTTCACGTGTTGCGAGTCATAAACGAGGCTACTACGTCTTGGGAACGCGGCTTACTACTCGCTTGTTTGCCAGTGCCAATAACCTCAAAAACGCTGACAACAACATGCATTGTTGGACGAAAAAAAAATGTATAAATAACAAGCACATGAGTTAGAATAAAGCAACAAAAACAATCAAATAAACTTAGAATGAACCAAAAATGAGCACAACAACAGCGTCAGCCCAAAACCAGTTTCGGTAAGTAGCCATCACAGGCAAGGTAAATAACAAAATGGAAAAAAATTAACAAAATAAAAAAAAATATAGGAAAGCAAAAAAAAAATGAGTATAGAAATAAAAATTAAATAAAACTTAATAAATAAATAAAAATAAAATAATAACTTTCAATTAAAACCAAATAAAATAAAGAAATCAAAATAAATTTAAAAAGTAAAACATCTGAGATAAATTGATATCGAAAAAATTGAAATAAATAAAATAAAATACAA